ACCCTCAGCAGAGAAAGTCACAGACCAGTTGGCAGGGCAACAAGTTGTCCTCAAATCTCCCTTGCCCCACAAGACTTTATTTTCTCATTGGACAGGCTCTTACACAGTTCTTTACAGCATCCCCATGGCTGTTCACCTTGTGGACACCCCAGTTTGGATTTACTGATCCCAGATAAAACTTTCCTACAGAAGAACTTCCAATGCTGAAGAACTATCACTGGAAGTCGCAAGTACTGTCCCCCACCATCTTGAACTCACCAGAATCCCTGAAAAATCCACTCCATAATAAATGTGTAACATTCCTTCCTGATTTTTTCCTTTTCTCTATAACTTTTCTTGGGATGCCTGGCTACTCTCACATGTTCAAGGTTGGAACGACCTTGAAGCCTCTAGAAATCTGTGGCTACAGGGCACCTTCCAAGACTTTCTCCCTGAAGAAACCCAATTTTCTTCTTCCTTCTTTTTTTTATTCCTTTTGGCTACCCCTCCTGTCAATTCTGACCTTGCTCTCCTTTCCATCAACCTCAACTGATGATAAAGTCACTAATTATAATCCTCATTCTCAGTTACAGATCAGCAATTCTTTGCTTCATCTCTATTTATTGAGCAGTCACCTGAAAACTGCTCATATCCTCGCCCTTTTGGATAACAACTAACTCATACTGAAAAAAAAAACAAAGAATTCCTATAAACACCACTCCCTTCCCCATTCCTCTCCCCCTCCCATTCTTTTCACAGGCAGCCCACGAACACCTCCCCCACCAAGAAGCAGCCAAAGAGATGCCATGCCCATCACCCTACCTCCTTAGAATAAACTAAAGAGACTGGTATGATAGAATCAGGTACCTGCCTAAATAAACTTGCCCCACCCAGGCAGGGTCAGGTTCATGGCCCATCCAGGAAAGGTTGGACTCATGTCCCTCCCAGGAAATAGAAATGCCACTAATCATGGCTGCCCTAACCCTTTAAATTCCTGTTTGCCAGTAGCTGGTGTGTGGGAATCTTACCCCACCTGCACTCCAGGTGGAATAAAAGCCATTTAAATTGCATGAATTGGATCTCCGTCTTTCTTCTCTCCTCTCAGAATGATTTTATCCTTGGGTCTGGAACTTTTCACTTTCCTTTAACCAAGATTAAAATAAACCAGGGCAGTAACTGTATTAAGTTCATTTTTGGGTTATAGGTTTTAGTGCACAGCTTGGCGGATTACAGGTAGGGAGACCAAAGAATCTTTGTTCCTGACTGGAATATCTTGGGTAATGAAAGGGTATTAGGGTGTGAAGTCTATATGCAGGTGAGAAAAACTTCTCAGATAGTTTAGGACTGTAAGTTTGTTTATGCTCTCTCCGGGAGAGATCAGGGCACCAGAAATGAAGGCACTGAGGCCAAATGAATCTGACTCTTCATTATGGCAGGCTGGGGAGGGGTGGGGGGATTTACGACTATAGCCCAACTAGCAGACATAGCAGAGAAGTGGCTGTTTTGGTTTTTCTGTTTATCATTAACAGATTGACATCAGGAATTAGTTTCTTCTTCCCTCTCTCTGAAGGAGGGGAAATTTGCTTTCCTGTCTGCTTAAGAACTTTTTCAGGACAATATTAAAAAATAAAAATAACCCCCCCCCAATCTTATTTATTTATTTATTTATTTAACAACTCGTTAGTTTTAATGTCTGTTGATGAGAAAGTCTACCCTGTCCTCCCCTTTCCTGGAAAGTCTTTTCTTCCCCCTTGGAATGTAAATCAACTCGCTCAGGTAAATGTTAATGAAGATTCACCTTTTCTGGTTTCTCGGTTGCTAGGCCCCTCCCCTGTGTTTGGAGGTTTTCCCGCTTTGTCACCTTGCGGGCGGACAGTGCCAGCTTCCCAACTTAAAAGCACAAAATGCCAGATACTTCCAATTGCAGCCTCCCCGCTGCGGCCACACCTGGATCTTACGTGTCGGACGCTCCTACGCAGGCCCCGGAGGCATGAACAGCGCTCAGATTGCAAGGGGTGTGGGCAAAAGCAGCCGTAGGGAGAGGCTCCAAGCCCGGTTCTGCAGCATTGGCACAGTCCTCCGGCTCTCATTAGCCTGCTTCGTCGGGGGAGAGGGGACGGGTTGTCTGGCGGGTATGGCGGACCCTGCTTCCCAGCCCGGGCGGGAGCGCTGGTCACCGCACGACACCGTCTTCCTAGCTCTGGCTCCAACGCTGCCCCCAGGACCTGTCCCCGAGAGCGATATTCACGCAGCCTCCAGATAGCATTGGATCCAGAAGGGCCCAGGCGATGCAGGGACATGCAGGTGCTGGTCTGGGCGGACATTCCTCGGGGCAGCGGGAATTTGGCTAGATAGAGCACTCTGTATCCACTGTAATGTGGGGATAGATACCTGTGCTGCAAGGGGAGGTTGAGGACTTATCCACTGTAGGCCCAGACTGTTCCTCGTGTTTAGGATAAAGGCAGGGTCACTGCAGGGGCACTCATCTCATGTTGGGGGGCTTGCACTGTGGCTTCTCCCCATTTCTGCTGCTTATTGATATTTCCATCAACTCTTATTTTTTGATAATCAAAGGAGAGGCAGGTTTCTGTTTGATGCTCATGTTGCAGAACCTGCTGGATTGTCTTGTTGAGACACTAGTGATTGCTTTTCTGGGGGGGGGGTTGGGTGCCATTGCTGCAGATACTTGTATCTAGTCTTGGGGAGACAAGGGAGGTGGGCTAGGGTTTGCTTGGAGAGTGGTGTGAAAGCTGGGGCTTTCTTTATTAGTGTATAGGGCATTGGGAGCTGCTTCTTCAGTTCCCATCATCTCTAACCTTGGAAGGATATGGGGGAATCACTTATGGGAGTTGCTGACAGAATCCCCATGATGTTGTAGAGGACCTGGGAGGTCTGAGACTTGAACTCCTTTTGCTGGGGGCATGGAGGATCACTGCCTGGGGCTTTTCCAAGTGTTGAGATGCCAAGGAAGGATGTCTATAGTTTGGGAGGAGGACTGAAGGGGTTATTTCATGGGCTCCACTTATCTTTGCTCAGTGAGACTGCAGGGATCCCTTTTACCCTCTTTTATCCCGTCAGTGGGGAGAGGCTAGTAAAGTCACTTTCTGGGTCTCCCCTGGCCTGTATTGTTGGAATAGATTGGGTGGGTCCCGGGGCTGGGGCTTGCCATTCTCTAGTGTTGAGGGGCAGCTGAGAGGTCACCTATGGGGCTGCTGTCAGTCCAAAGTATTAGAAGTAACTAGGGGTGTTTACCGGAATTTTGGGAGGATGGAGGTCTTGCTCGGACCCCATCTTTTGTGTTTGTAGATGACACTTGCTATCTGAGGCCCTGCTGCCTCTAGTTTTGGGAGGGGGGCTCTGGTGGTCCCTTACTAGGACTTCTGTCAGTTCTGCCGTTGGATACAGACTGTAAGCAACACTTTCAAGGCTCTCATGATCTTGTGGGGTGGATGGGGCATCTCTTTGCCAGGGTTTCTAACACTTCTAATTTTGGGTGATCAGATCAATGTGTTTTTAAAAGTATTTTATTTTGAAAAAGTTGAGATATACACAAGGAGTTATAAAACTATACAGGGTTGTTTTTATACAGCCAATGTTCATTTGCAATTACTTGCATTCTGTGCTCCTGCCGATCTTAATACCTCTATTTATGTATGTCCATATGGAATCATGGAAGAATGTTTTCTTAGGTTACAGAATTTTAGATTGGCAGCCTCCTTGCCCCAAGTCATAGGATCTTGCATGCCAAGACTGCTGTTACCACAGATTCATATGACTCACTGTCCCAATTCACTAAGGTTGCTGTTCAAATGCCTTACAGAGTGCCTGGTCTATGGGAAGTGCCATATAAATGCCTAACCATTCATTATTAGCACTATATAATATTTTGCTATATAAAAAGTTTCTATGTAAAAAGGAACAACTCACAATAAAATACTCCTGTATATACCTAGTAACATTACATTAAAATATATAAAAATGACAGAATAAAGGAATATGTTAATCATAATGAAAGATTTTACTACACCTCTATCACTAAATAAGGTCAAGAGAAAAAAACTATACATATGTACTGTATCTGAAGATATAATTAGCTTGCATTACTGTGCATATACCCTATATACAAATATCACAGAATATACATTATTTTTAGGGAAATATAAAACATGGATAAAATTTGACTAATTGATAGGTTTACCAGTTAGAGAATGTATTCAGTTTGAAGTCAAATCACCAACTCAAAAACAACAAAGCACTTTGATTTCAACCACTTGAGGATTTGTTTTAATCATGTAAGCAGAAGTCTAAGAATAAGCAAGTCCGAGCTGATAAGTCAATGAGAGGCTTTGGGGGACCCTCCCCCCCTTTTCTCTGTACGTGGTTTTTGTCATTGTGATTAAAAAATAGCTCTTTAAACTCTAGAGGCTACTTCCCAAGAGAAAGAATGAATGGGTAAAATAAATACATAATAGGTGAAAAAAGGCCAGATGGTGTCCCACTCACCATCCCCCCATGACTTCTATCTACTCATGGTTGGTAGAGTATGATGAAGTCTGTCTGGGCTTCAGGAAAGCCAAAAAAATTGAGTATTTTCAGTATTGTTCACAGACAACCTGAACAAAATGGGAAGAACAGACACTGACAAACTATCAACATTTGTCACATTAAGAATGAAGAAATGAAATCAATATCATAAAGCCCAATTTACTGACAAAAATACCATTAAATAGAAAAAATTATATAATAAATAGTCTAATTTCCATTATGAGAAACTGTATCACTTAAGACTATTCAGAAATAACTTTTCTTTCTTTTTTTTTTTTGAGACAAAGCCTCAAGCTGCCACCCTGGGTAGAGTGCCGTGGCATCATAGCTCATAGCAACCTCCAACTCCTGGGTTTAGGCAATTCTCTTGCCTCAGCCTCCCAAGTAGCTGGGACTACAGGCACCTGCCAAAATGACTATTTTTTTGGATGTAGTTGTCATTGTTGTTTGGCAGGCCCAGGCTGGATTCAAACTCGCTAGCTCTGGTATATGTGGCTGGCACCTTAGCTGCTTGAGAAATAACTTTTTGAATATACAATGTATTGATATCCTTAAAGAGTACATTATAATAAATATATTGCATTAAAATTATGGAATGCAAGTTAAAAGTTTATTTTAGGGACTAGTTATAGACATGCATACTTACATTAAAACAAAAAGACTGAAAATTAATGAGCTGGTGGCTCAACCTACAAAAAAGACATTGATAATGGTGATCCCACACTCTCAACATTTCTACTTTTTGTTCCCAGTATAAATTACTACATGGCCACTCAGAAAGAGATGGGATAAGGTGCCCTAATACTGACTGATTGCATTTCTAGAGTTTCTTCCATAAAACAAAGACAGGAATCACTGAAAATTTTCCAAAATTGATACTCAGAGGTTTTGCATCCAGGGAGGATTTTCGTATTTTTCTTAACACGGAGGCATCATTGAAGACTTTCTCTTATACTTTTTATTGTGACTTTCTTTGCAGTGTGAGTTCCCATACATTTCCCAATATATGTGGAAAAATGGAAAGTTTCTAAGACCAATGTCATTCAAAGGGACTTTCTCTCTAGAATTTTCACCTCTTAAAAATTGAGAAAACATTTAATGCTTCCCCACAGTTACTGTAACCAAAGGGCCTCACTATCTCTTGCTCAGTAATGTGGACACTTTTGCTGTAGAGTTGTTCACATTTCTTGTTGTAAGTGTCTTCTTCTGTGGATTTACCATGCGTATCTTAAGGGATGAGTGTCCCTGAAGGCTGCTCCATTTTATGACCTTCAAAAGGCTTCTCTCTCAGTGTGAACTGTCATGAGAATCCCTGGAGATAACCACTGGAGGCTTTCCAGGAATATAGCCATCTCCTTTGTTGGATTTTTCAGCACATCAGTGTTGGCATGTGAGCTAAAAACTTTACCATACGGTCTGTACTCTTTTCTCTCCAGAGCGAATTAATAGGTCAGTTGAATGCTGTTTCATACTGATTGAATAAAAAAGACAGGGTATACTAGAGGTTTTTCTTCAGTAATTTCATGGCAAGTTTCCTAGTGGTCCTTGTCTCCTGGTAGTTATACCTTACGTAGTCTTCTCTCATTCTGTATCAGGATTGGTATGTGTGATCCGTATGATAGGAAAAAAGTGAAAATATGTCCTTCTGAGGCTGGTTCACAGATGAGATTATGGCTTTAGTATTGGTTTTCTCTTGGATCACTTGCTTTGGGGAGAACTTGCTGCCTAATCATACTCAGTATTGTGGAGATGCCTACATGGTGAGAAATTGCAGGTCCCATGAAATAACCAACATTAACTTTGCAGATACATGAATGACCCATCCTGGAAGTAGACCCTTTAATAGTAAAGATTTCAGATGACCAGAGCTCTGGTTAACATCTCCACTGCAACCTCATGGAAGATCTTGAAGCATAACTACAGAACTAAGCCATTTTTGAATTCCTGACCTACAGAAATTATGAGATGATAAATGTTTGTTGTTTGAAACCACAAAGTCTTTTGGTGGGGTAATTTGGAATGCTGTGACAGATAAGTTGTCTTAGGGATGAGATATCAGAAAGTGCTTTCCCACAGAAATTCATATCCATCTATTATGTATTCTTTTATGCACAGAAAGGTAAGAATTACTGGTGAAAGATTTTCCACAATGATTACATTCATAGGGTTTTTCTCCAGTGTGAGTTCTCACGTGTTTCTTAACAGCCGAGAGATTATTAAAGGCTTTCCCACAGTCACTGCATTCATAGGGTTTTTCTCCGGTATGTATTCTCTTGTGCACAGTAAGAGAAAAGCTACTGCTAAAAGATTTCCCACACTCATTACACTCATAAGGCTTTTCTCCTGTGTGAGTTCTTACATGCTGTGTTAGGTATGAGCTCTTCCTAAAGGTTTTCCCACAATCATGACACTCATAAGGTTTCTCTCCTGTATGAATGCTATTATGCCCAGTAAGGGAGGACCTTGTGCTGAAGGCCTTTCCACACTGATTACATTCATGGTGATTCTCCCCTGTATGAATCCTCTTATGGCTTTTGAGGTTACAACTAGTGCGAAAGACATGAAAACACTGGTTACATTCATAGGGCTTTTCTCCAGTGTGAATTCTCACATGGAGTCTAAGAGAAGAGGGATCACTAAATGCTTTCCCACAGTGATTGCATTCATAGGGTTTCTCCCCATTGTGGATTCTCTTATGAATAGTAAGGTAAGACCTACTGCTAAAGGATTTTCCACATTGATTACAGTCATAGGGTTTTTCTCCAGTGTGAATTCTCTTGTGCTGAGTAAGGTTAGATTTTGTACTGAAGACTTTAAAACACTGATTACATTCATTGAGTTTCACTCTATGATGACTTCTTTCCTGTTGGTTAAGAAATGAATGACAAATTTAATTCATAGTATCGCTGTCATAGGAATTCTCTCTCCCAGGAAAACTGTTATATTATTATAATTGATATTGTGGCTACTTCCAGTATATGGTTTCCCCCAGTTTGAGCTTCTAGGAAGGAAGTTAAAAAAGACAAATGCTTTGCCATAGTCCTTAATAGTCACAAAACATTTTCTGATAAGTGTAAGGCCAACTTATGTTTCAAACAGTCAATATTGGAGTCATATTTAGGGAACAATTTACTTGTAGGAACTCTCAGTGAAGAAACAAATTTATAACTAATACCCCCTTTTTAAATTCCCAAGTTTCAGTATCTCTCTAGAAACACCATTTTCTGGAGTGTAAATGACACTTTCCTTTAATGGACTCTCTTGGTTATTTTGTGCCCTTTCTAAATTTATGGCATTCTCCCGCTGCAGAAAACCCAAATCCATACATATCCATCTTACCACTTTTACACATTTAGACTGTTCTTTTCTAAAAACATGCTTCTTAGGAGTTAGCCATTTGGCTTTAAGTAGGGTCGGTACATCTGAAACAAATTGAAAAGAAATTTAGGTTGACGAAGAAAAGAAGTAGAAAATTGCATACATAAAAGTAAAAGGAAATTTTAAGGCAGCAGCTCTCAACCTCCTTAATGCTGCAGCCCTTTAATACAGTTCCTGTAGGTCAAGACCCACAGGTTGAGAACTGCTGTTAAGGGATTAGGCTTTTGAGGAGGTTTGCAATGAATAGGAATTGATTATAAAAATTCCTGGATATTAATTTAAAAAAGGATTCCAGAAAAACTGATATTGCTCAGAGATTGAAAAAAGAAGAAATTATCAGGAATGCACAAGAGAAGGGAATTGGACTTAAATTTAAAAAGGAAAAGAACTGAGTCTTTGTTCCCTGAGGCCAAAGTATGAGATGGTGAACAGAGGTTAAAGAAGAAAGAAAAAGTACATGAGTAAGGTCATACCACCAAATGTTCTTGTCTATATTTGTCAGGACAAAGGGAATTCTGCAAAGTTCCCTGATGGACATTAACTAATGTAATATTCCTGACCCCCAAAAGTCACTGGTCAGAGCTATTTATTTTTTTTGAGACAGAGTCTTACTTTGTCACTCTCAGTAGAGTACTGAGGCATCACAGCTCACAGCAACCTCAAATTCTTGGGCTCAAGCAATTCTCTTGTCTCAGCCTCCCAAGTAGGTGGGACTACAGGTGCCCACCACAAGGCCTGGCTATTTTTAGAGATGGGGTCTTGCTCTTACACAGGCTGGTCTGGAACCTGTGAGCTTAGGCAATCCACCGCATTAGCCTTGCAGAGTTCTAGGATTATAGGTGTGAGCCACTGCACCCGGCCTGCCAGAGCTATTCTTCACAAGAAGTTATATCCATGCAGTGCTTACCTGGACAGATACTTGGAATAATTTTTCTCTCCTCTGTCATTACCTTGTCTTCTTGTTCCAAATGGGATAAAAAATTTGGTTTATCAACATGACATCCTATTTATGGAAAAAATACATATGATGTAGGAGAACGTTGGTAGGAGCAAGCCAACTCCATGAAACTGTGGCCAACGGTTCTGAAGATGGCCAAATGTGACTTTAGGAGCATTATGCCTTCAGATTTTAGAATTATACCTATATCCTAATGAATACAGTAACTCTCACAAGGAATAAAAATCCAAGATCCTCAACCCAATATTCAGGGTGATGGGTTTTATTTTTATGTTTTTCTTGTTCTAGGTCTTCAAAAAATACACTTTAGAAGCCCCCAAACCATGGAGAATATAAAGTCAGGGAAAGAAATAGATTTTCAGTTGGACAGACAGTTACATGAGGGTAAAGACCAGGTCTGTCTCATTTGTCACTGTACCCTCAAACCCCAGCACACACCTAGGAACATGTAAGTGCTTAAAAGTCTTGTGAGAAGTGACATTAGTGAAAATGGCATAGTAGGGAACTCTAAACATTCATCACTTTATAAAAACAGTGAATAAACTGGAAAAACCATCATAATCAAATTAACAGGAACTCTTAAAAACTTACCATTAAGTTAATAGTAACCAGTAGTAGAATGTCTAATCAAAAATAAACCCAACTGAATCTGGGTAATGGTGCCATATGACATTTTAGCCAACTCTAGCCCTATTCTTCTGTCTGTTGCTTCGGCCACAACTTGAAGATAAACAGCCTGCATTTCTAATACTGGGGGGCTAGGGGAGCAAACAAATCTTATTTTGTGGTTGCTTTTTTCTGACATGTGTGGTGGCTTCCTGAAAAACTGGCTTGCCTTTATTTACCTAACTTCAAATTCCTTGGGGATGAGCTGGCTACCTGGGACACACACAATCAAAGGCAAATGTACAATCTGACCCCAGAGAAAAAAGCAGAAGCAAATAAAGGGTTAACCAAAAAAGGCTGGAAGGAGAAATAAGGAAAAAGACATTTGGAGAACAGGGCTTTGACAAGATTGCTCATATTTCTAGGAAGGCAGAATGCTGAGCACACTCCCAGGGCTGGGTGCATGCTTGGAAAAGACTTTAGAAGGCAACAAGCCCTCACCTCTGGCTGATTTTCAGTCTCTGCACAAGCAGGAAGAGAAGGCCAAGGCAGAATTGTAAACTGCCAGGCTGCATTTTAAAGGCACATCCCAATGAGTGTGGGATGAGTCCATCTGAAGAGATTAGAGGTTATTTTTTTCTTGTTCTAGGTCTTCAAAAAAAATATAATGAAAAATTATTAGATGACCAATAAACTAACAGAAAAAACAGCTATCAGTGACACCATACATGACAAATACAGACATTACAAAATTAGATCTGAAAAGTCACTAACAATACATAGATACAGCACCAACTACAACAAGCAACGACAAATCTCAGAGATGGGCAAAAAGTTGATTCCAGAACTGCTATGTTATAATACTCCAAATATTGACTTTTCAACAAAATAATTATAAGGTAGTCAAAGAAATAAAAGCATAGTCCATTGAAAGAAAAATGAAATTGGTAGAAACTGTCCCCAAGGACACTTAAATACTGGACTACTAAACAAATAAAAATAAATCAAATATTTTAAATATGTTCAAACTTAAAGGGAACATAAGTGAAAATTCTCATCAACAGAAAACATCATAAAGACATAGCAATTATATTAAGAAGCCAAACAGAGATTTGAGTTGTAAAGTATAATAACTGAAATGAAAAGTTTGGAAGAGGGGTTCAACGGCAGATTTGAGCAGGCAAAGGAAACAATTAGTGACCCTAGAGATAGGACAATTTATATTACCTAGTTTAGAAAGCAGAAAAAAAAGAGAATAAAAAAAATTTAAAAGGGTCTCAGGGACATTTGGGAAGCCACCAGCCATACCAAAATACAAATGATGGGAGTCCCTGATGCAGAGAAGTGAGAGAAAGGAACAGAAAGAATATTTGAAGAAATAATGGCTAAAATATTTCCAAAATCTGATAAAATACACAAATATACAAATCCAAAAAGCTCAATAAACCTAAGTAGGATAAACTCAAAGAGATAAAGATATACACTGAAAAAAATATATTAATCAAACTGAAGGGCAAAGACAGTTTCCTAAAAGCAGCAACAGAGAAGGATTCATTATGTGAAAGCCAGAAGAAGATGGTCATCTAACTTCTAAAACAAAACAACTTTCAACCCAGGAATCTGTATCCAGCTAAACTAAGTTTCATTTACAATGGAGAAATCAAATACTTTAATGACATAGACATGTTGAAGAACTTTGCCATAACTAAACCAGCTCTCCATGATATTCTCAGACCCACCTTCCACAATGACCAGCACAATGCTCTACCACCAAAGTAAACTTACTCAGAAACTTTTGATCAAAACCCAACTTACACAGGGGCGAAAGGATTAAAAATGTCCACCAGACTTTCAAAAAATTCGACACCCAAAACACTACCAGGCTTATCAATATTCTCAATTAATGTGAATGGCTTAAATTGCTCTATAAAGAGGCACAGGTTGGCTGACTGGATACAAAAGCCCAGGCCAGATATCTGCTGCATACAAGAATCTCATCTTACCTTGAAAGATAAACACAGACTAAAGGTGAAGGGATGATCATCTATAATTCAGGTAAATGGAAATCAGAAAAAAGCAGGTGTTGCAATTTTATTCAGATACAACAGGCTTTAAACTAACAAAAGTAAGGAAAGATAAGGATGGTTCAGTTCGTATTTGTTAAGGGCAACACTCGACATGATGAGATTTCAATTATTAACATTTACGCACCCAACCAGAATGCACCTCAATTTATAAGAAAGACTCTAACAGACATGAGCAACTTGATTTCCTCCAGCTCCATAATAATTGGAGATTTTAACACCCCTTTGGCAGTGTTGGATAGCTCCTTCAAGAAGAATCTAAGCAAAGAAATTTTAGACTTAAAATTAACCATTCAACTATTGGATTTAACAGACATCCAGAGAACATTTCATCCTAACAAAACTGAGTACACATTCTTCTCATCAGCCCATAGAACATCCTCTAAAATTTATCACATCTTAGGTCACAAGTCTAACCTCAGCAAATTTAAAAGAACAGAAATTATTCCTTGCATCTTCTCAGACCATCATGGAATAAAAGTTGAAATCAGTAACAACAGGAATCTGCATATTCATACAAAAACATGGAAACTAAATGATCTTATGCAGAATGATAGCTGGGTCATAGATGAGATTAAGAAGGAAATTACCAAATTTTTGGAACAAAACAATAATGAAGACACAAACTACCAGAACCTGTGGAATATTGCAAAGGCAGTCCTAAGATAGAAATTTATAGCCTTACAAGCCTTCCTCAAGAGAACAAAAAGAGGGGAGGTCAACAACTTAATGGGACATCTCAAGCAACTGGAAGAGGAAGAACATTCCAACCTGAAACCCAGCAGTGTAGGAGATAAGCTCCCCTTGCTCAGACATGGCAGTTCGCTTCAATGTGCTCCTCCAGGAGATTGATTCAGAGAAACATTTCTTTGAAGATCAAGCTTCTGTACCTGCCTATAGATATGCAGAAATATGCAGAAAAGTCTCTCTCTAGGAAGTGTGGAGAATCAGCCAGGGTCGCAGCTGGGGGTGAAGAGATCGGTCTTCGAGCATTGGGTCCTGTTCTCTGTCTTCCTCCTTCATTAACATTATAATCCCTAGTTTCCTTTTGGACTAAAAGCAACAGATAGCCAGTCTCCCTTATGTTTTTACTCTGAACAAAATCAATTGTATATGTGTTCCTCAGCCTTCACACTAAATTGTAATCTTAAATGGTAGCTTCCTAATGTTACTGCACTTCTTTGTATATGTGTTAAATTCTTACTGAATGTTTGAAAGTATATAAGGTAATCAGTAAAGTTTAGCCGGGCCACCGACCAGAGCGAGTCTCGGCCTCCCTTTAATTACCATTCCGTATGCAGTTCTTTCCCCTGCATCTCCAGAGGCTCCAAAGAACACACCATCACAGCAGAAGAAAAGAAATAACCAAAATTAGAGCAGAATTAAATGAAATTGAAAACAAAAGAATTATACAACAGATCAATGAATCAAAAAATTGACTTTTTGAAAAGGTCAATAAAATAGATAAACCTTTGGCTAACTTAACCAGGAAAAAAAGAGTAAAATCTCTAATCTCATCAATCAGAAATGACAGAGGTGAAATAAGAACAGACTCCTCAGAAATTCAAAACATCCTTAATGCATATTACAAAATACTCTCAGAATATGAAATATTCTCAGAAATATGAAAATCTGAAGGAAATAGACCAATACTTGGAAGCATGCCACCTTCCCAGACTTCACCAGAAAGAAGTGGAAATGTTGAACAGACCTATATCAAGTTCTGAAATAGCATCAACTACACGAAATCTCCCCCAAAAGAAAAGTCCAAGACCAGATGGCTTCACATCAGAATTCTACCAAACCTTTAAAGAGGAACTAATACCTATATTACTTAACCTTTTCCAAAATACAGAAAAAGAAGGAATACTTCCCAACACATTCTATGAAGCAAATGTCACCCTGATACCCAAACCTGGAAAAGAAAATTATAGACCAATCTCTCTAATGAATGTTGATACAAAAATATTCAATAAGATCTTAGCAAACAGCATTCAACAACACTTCAAAAAATTACACACCATGATCAAGTAGGTTTTATTCTAGGGTTACAGGGTTGGTTCAACATATGCAAATCTATAAATATAATACATCACATCAATAAAATAAAAAACAAAGACCATATGATTCTCTCAATTGATGAAGAAAAAGCTTTTGATAATATCCAGCATCCTTTCATGATCAGAACACTTAAGAAGATAGGCATAGAAGGGACATTTCTGAAACTGATAGAAACTATCTACAGCAAACCCACAGCCAACATTATATTGAATGGTGTAAAATTGAAATCATTTCCACTCACATCAGGATCTAGGGAAGGATGCCCACTGTCTCCACTGCTATTCAACATAATAATGAAAGTCTTAGCCATTGCAATTAGGCAAGAGAAGGCAATCAAGGGTATCCAAATAGGGTGAGAGGAGATCAAACTCTCACTCTTCTGTGATGATATGATCCTATACCTGGAAAATCCCAGGGACTCAACTACAAAACTCTTAGAAGCAATCAAGGAATAAAGCACCATCTCAGGATACAAAATCAATACTTACAAATCAGTAGCTTTTATATATGCCAACAACAGTCAAGCTGAAAATATAGTCAAGGACTCTATTCCTTTTACAGTAATGCCAAGGAAGATGAAATATCTGGGAACTTACCTAACAAGGGATGTGAAAGAACTCTATAAAGAGAACTATGAAACTCTGAGAAAACAAATAGATGGAGATGTTAACAAATGGAAAAACATACCATGTTCATGACTGGGAAGAATCAACATTATTAAAATGTCTATACTACCAAAGCAATCTACAGATTTAATGCAATCCCTATTAAAGCACCATTGTCATACTTTAAAGATCTTGAAAATATAGTGTTTCGTTTTATATGGAATCAGAAAAAGCCTCAAATAGCAAATACATTACTCAGAAATAAAAACAAATCAGGAGGTATCATGTTATCAGACTTCAGGCTATATTACAAATAGACAGTGATCAAAACAGCATGATACTCGCAAAAAAAAGAGAGGCAGATTTATGGACTAGAATAGAGAAACAAGAGATGAACCCAGCTACTTATTATTATTTGATCTTTAACAAGCCTATCAAAATATTCAGTGGGGGAAAGACTCCCTATTTAACAAATGGTGCTGGGTGAACTAGCTGGCAACCTGTAGAAGACTGAAACTGGACCCCTACCTTTCACCATTAACAAAAATTGACTCTCATTGGATAAAAGTTTTAAATCTAAGACATGAAACTATAAAAGTACTAGAAGAGAGTGCAGGGAAAACACTTGAAGAAATCGGTCTGGGAGAATATGTTATGAGAAGGACTCCTGGGCAATTGAAGCAATACCAAAAATCCATTACTGGGATCTGAGCAAACTGAAAAGCTTCTGCACAGCCAAGAGCACAGTAAGTAAAGCAAACAGACAACTTTCAGAATGGGAGAATATTTTTGCAGGTTATGCTTCTGACAAAGGTCTGATAACTAGAATTCACAAAAACTCAAACTAATCAGTAAGAAAAGAACAAATAACTCCATTTCTATGTGGGCAAAAGACTTGAACAAAAAATTCTCTAATGAAGACAGGCACATGGCCTACAAACACATGAGAAAATGCTCATCATCCTTAATCATCAGAGAAATGCAAATCAAAACCACTTTGTGATATCATCTAACTCCAGTAAGATTAGCCCACGTAAAAAAATTCCAAACTATAGATGTTGGTTCATAATGCAGAGAGAAGGGAACATTTGTACACTGTTGGTGGGAATGCAAGCTAATATGACCTTTTGGAAAGAAGTCTGGAGAATATTCAAGGAATTAAAAGTAGACCTACCATTCAATCCTGTAATTCCTCTACTAGGTATATACCTAGATGTCAAAAATTATTTTACAACAAAGACATCTGCACCAGAATGTTTACTGCAGCCCAATTCAGAACTGCCAAGACACGGAAATAGCCCAAGTGCCCATTGACCCATGAATGGATTAACAAATTGTGGTATATGTATACCATGGAATACTATGCAGCCATAAAAGATGGAGATTTCACATCTTTTATGTTTACCTGGATGGAGTTGGAACATATTCTTCTTAGTAAAGTATCTCAAGAATGGAAAAAAAGTATCCAATGTACTTAATACTACTATGAAATCAATATGTAATTACCTAAACATTCATATGAATGGTAAAAAATAACTACAGTCCAGAAAGTAGAAGGGAAAAGGAGAGAGGGAGAGGAGGAGGGGCAGGTGGGAAGAGAGACGGTATTTGGGGGAAACCTCACCTAATGTGCATGATGCAATGGCACATTTCAAAATTATTAAGAATATAATTGTGATGGATGTGTTACTTTGTTCAATGTAAGCATTTCACATTGTATATCAAATAAGTACAATGAACCCCATAAATGCATCAATGTACAAAATTATGATTTAATTTAAAAAAAAGAAAGATAGAAATTATTGAAGGCATGAAGTTTGAACAAGGCTGTATTTCTCCATACTTATTATCAAAAGGTCAGAAGTGTGAATTCCAGGATGCCTATGTTCTATTGAGTAAAAAGAATATTTCTAGTGTCCAATCAATTATACCTCCTCTTCAAATGTGCCAATGTTCATTCCAAGCCTTGGTCATAATTGCTGAAGATATTGATGGGGAAGCTCTGAGAACACTTACTTTCTTAGAGCTAAATAGGCTAAAAGTTGGTCTTTAAGTTGTAGCAGTCAAAGGTCTAGGTTTTGGTGATAATAGAACCAACTTAAAGACATGGCTATTGAGGGGTGGTGCAGTGTGTTCCGAGGAGAGGGAATGACTCTAAATCTTGAAGATGTTCAGCCTTGGAACTTTTGAAAAGTTGGAGAGGTCTTTGTGACCAAAGATGATACCATGCTCTTAAAAGGGAAAGGTAACAAGGTGCAATGGTGGCATAGGAGGTGGTATGAGAGGTGGCATGTTCTAATTCCTAGAGTAGTGCTTATCATCAATGAACTGTGACAGGAAGCTCAAAACAGTGTTCCTAAACAGTAACTTCAGAGAAGCCAGTTGAAGAAAATGAATAAAGGCTGGCTGATGTTTAAGAAAATCACTATAACCATCAGTTACTGGCTTCAGTTGACAATTATAATGGTTTACTGCTGTCAATGTTCATGCTTACAGATAATTTATTTTGTATTGATGAGTAAAAAGACATCTGTACATTCCTGATACTGACTGTGAAAGCCACGTACCAAGGTATTGCTTTCAACTTCTATCACTGAGGCATTTTTACTACTGTTCTGTTAAAATCAGGATTTTAGTACTTGCTTTAGTTCTCACCAGATGAGGCGTTAAGAAGGACCCTTTCTGTGGAGAGTAAGAATAATTGTGTACAAAGTAGAGAAATATCCAATTATGTGACAATCATAAATTAACAATAATTTGTTTAAAGTTAAAAAAGATAACAAACTAGGAAGACTCACATTTTCTGATATCAAACCTTACTACAATGCAATGACTATCAAGACAGTGTTACTGGCGTAAGGACAGAAAAACAGACCAATAGAATAGGATTGAGAGTAGAGAAATAATCTCTGGTGTCTATGGTCAAATAATTTTTGACAAGGGTGCCAAAAGCGTTGAGTGGGGAATGAACAGTCTCTTCTACAACAGTGCTGGGACAACTGAACATACACACGCAAAAGAATAAAGTTGACTCTTTCTCCACATCATGTGCAAAATTAACTCAAAGTGGATCAAATGCCTGAAAGTAAGTGCTAATACTAGAAAATTCTTGGAAGAAAACACAGGAGTAAACCTCCATGCCATTAGTTTAGATAATAGTTTCTTAGGTATGACACCAAAAGCACAAGTGAAAAGAAAACCTAGAAAAATCAGACTTCATCAAAATTAAGACTCTCATACAACAAAGGACACTGTCAAGGAAATGAAAAGATACCGACAGAGAAATTATTTATGAACTGCATTTTGAATGATGGCTCAATATCCAGAATATAAAACGAACTTTTATAACCCAACAACAAAAAAATAAACAACCCAATTAAAAAATGGACCAAGATCTGGAACAGACATTTTTCTAAAGAAGATATACAAACAGCCAACAAGTACATGAAAAGTGCTCAGTGTCATTAGTCATTAGGGCAATGTAAATCAAAGCAATGGGATATCACTTCATACACCCTAAGATGGCTACAATCAAAAGGAAAGATGCAGAGAATACTGGAAACCTCATGCACTGGTGGGAATGTTAAATGATGCAGCTACTGTGGACAAGTTCTACAGTTCCTGAAAGAGCCAAATACAAAAAGAGATGACCCAGTTAGTATTCTACTCACAGGTATGTGCCCAAGAGAATTGAAAGCAGAGGTTTAAACACAAACTTGCACACAAATATTCATTAGCAGTAATAATAGCCAAAAAGTGGAAACTACCCAAATGTTTACCAGATGACAAATAGATCAACAAAATTTTGTCTGTGTACACAATGGCTATTATTAAGGTCATAAAAAGGAAAGAAGACTGATACATGCTATAACATAGCTAAACCTTTAGAATATTATGCTACACGAAAGGAGTCGGAGACAAAAGGTCATGAATTTTATGATTCCATTTACATGAAGGTTCGGAATGGGCAAATCCATTAAGGCAGAAAGTGGATCAGTGACCCAGCAGCAGGGGGTCAGGAAGGTAACGAGTATTGGAAGGTAATGGGGCTTCCTTTAGGGGTTACGAAAATGTTCTGAATTTAGATAGTGTTCATGGTTGCACAACACTGTGAACACATTAAAACCTACTGAATTATGCACTTTAAAATGGTGAATTTTATGTTTATATGAATTTCATTATAATAAATGAACAAGAGAAGGAAAGTCTTGCTATGTAATTTACTGAATGAACATGAGTGATGTCAGGCTTACCAAGTGAGGCCAGGTTTCTGCAGTTCTCCAGCATCACATCTCTGTACAGTGTTCTCTGAGAGGGGTTCAGCAATGCCCACTCCTCTTGGGTGAACTCCACTGCCACATCCTTGAAGGTTACCAAGTCCTAGACCATAGTAAACACCATAGCTTAGCCAAGGACCACTCTCACCAATGGGAACAGGAAGAGGTCCCAGGGTCGACAGAACCAGGGATGGGAACCCAGCGCACAAGATGTTGGGGTAAGATTCTGAGAGGTTCTCTCACTGGATTCTGGGCTCAGCCCTCAATGTCTCTGTCCACAGAGGCCACTCCCCAGGTCCAATCCACTGCTAACACAGAGTGACTGTCGTTTCCCATTCAGACTGTGAACTCCTACAATCTTATTTCCTTCCACCTCCAGGATGAGCATGGGTCTGGGATATTGCAGAAATCACAAAAGTTCTTGGTAAAGGAATACATGACTTCCCCATGGCTACTACAAATTGCTTGAGTTTGGAACACAGTCATGTCTTTACTTGGCTTTCTCTTGAAATTCTCAGGAAACATGATATACTTAAGGACCCTGGCGCCAGTTCTGAAACTGCTGCAAATGTTGACACAGGCTGGTATTTCCTGGGCAGCCCTCACTCTCCATCAGATACCTGGAGATCGTGGGATACCCGAGGACCTGGACAGGCTGTGAGGCTCTGAATGCTGAAAGGTAACAAGTCCAATTTCTGGCGAAAGGAATAATGATTTAGAAAAAAGAGCATCTGACTCACCTGTAACCAGCTTGTCAGGAGTTCACTAGCCAGCCTTTCCTCCTCTATGCATCTCTTCTGCTGGGAGGCTGGGCACAGGGAAGACCCTGCTACAGGAGAAGAGAGTCACAGGAATCCAGGCCTGTCACGCATCTGGCACTCACACAATTGAGACTTCTACATGCTTGTGACTGAGCAGGTCAACACATCCCCACAGGCACCCCCTTCAGCTTTCCTAAGAAAGCTTCATCTACACCCATACAGACACCCCCTTCCCAGCTTTCCTAAGAAACCAGGGTACAGCTCTGCCTCATGCACACAATAAAATAGAGTTCAATGTTGTGACTGTACTTGAAGAAGAGATTATTCCCATTTCACAGATGGGGAAACTGCATGTTCAATACCTTCATTATATTTTTTACCACATATTACAGGAAGAATGAGAGAATTCAAGAGCTCCCACACATTCACCATGCAGGTGGACCATCAACAGATACCCAAACTCCTAAGTTTTCAATCCTAAAAGTCACCCAAGCAGACAGCCAGGACCCCAGGGCCCCTGACGCTTCATCTCACTTCACCTGCTCTGTCTTGCTACCTCCCTTGTCCATGCTTTGGGTGGGGGCCTCTAAAGCCTAGATCTCTGAGGGCTGCTGGGACCCCAAGACTCACCTCCAGCTGGGGGTAGCACGATGGCCGCCATCCTGTGACCTTGACACTAACTAATGGGGCAGTAGGAGAAGTTGGATGCTCCTTCTCTTGTTTCCACGGGGCTCTTGCGATGGCACTCTGGAAGAGATGGGAAAACTCCACGTCTCCATAGCCTCACTCTCTCTGAGGCTGCAGAGGATGTGCCTTCCTTGCCTGTCCAGCACAACTTCCTTCAAAACCCAACTCCCATCTTCTGTCCTGGGCCTTTACACTGCTGAGCAGATGATGAAGGTAGATCACCTGATAGCAGACTCACCTTCCTGTGTCCCCAACACTGCAATTTATGCTCTGCACCCTGACAATCTCAGCTCTGTAGGGCTCAGGCCACACTCTTCCTGCCCACCCTGATAACCTTGGCTCTGCAGGGCTCAGGCTACACTCTTCCTGCCCACCCTGATA